TCTGAGGATCAGACTTTAGCCACCTAGCAGACATAGCAAACTGTCCCTCATCTGATTATTCAGTTATGCTTGTTAGTAATCGCATACATGAGCCCTGGATATCCACAGATAAATGTAAAAACCTTCCCTAAAAGCCGAGACTGTAAATTCTCCCCCGCCCCCCCCCAAAAAAAAGGCTAAAGAGGATAGAGAGAAACACTGTTAACTGATGATGTATGGAGGGGATTATAATCAATGTAATGAAATAAGTCATATGAATGGTTGAATGAAACTGCTGATGTGCCCTGTAAACTTTCACTCAATCCACAATAAAAACCTTAAAAAAAAAAAAAGATGGGATAGCCAAAACATCTTAACCCCACTTTCCATTCTAAAATTGAAAATAAATAAATAAAGAAAGAATTGTCTGAGATAGTAAATTTCCAATGGAAATGACGACTAGACCAGCCTGGAGCAGCCAGAAGAACAGAACATACTTCATGAAAGAAAGACCTGCAGGAAAAATCCAAAACAATAATGGCAGTCTGATTGATTACTACAAGAACAAGTAAGTTGTTCGCTCCGGAGCCATCAAGGCAAGTGGTCGACACCCCTCAGAGCAAACTCCATTCCAAGACTGAAACTTAAGGTGAATACAAGAGCAGGCATGTGGTCTTGCTGGTGACTACGCTGATCACCAATAAAGGAAGAGGGGGATAAAACAACAATGAAGTTGGGATCTAAGTCTAACCACATTCAATAGACTCCTGTGAACCCGGGTAGAGACCTGGATCGCCATCAGTAAGGCAAGACCCGGGCACTCATGGACCCAGAGGCAGTGACATGGCCACAGAGGACTAGAGCGGAGAGTGAAGCATCCAGCTGTTAATGAAGTAAGGGGAAATGCACAAGAGCACCCACACTTACATATAGTACCCACTTGACCTGGCTTCAATGGCTGGATGATTAGAACTCGACTAGAAGAAGAAAGAAGAGGGGGGAAGAAAGAGTAACCTGCTACAATTTGATGAACTTTACCTATACTTATGGATGTAATAGCTCAAAAAAGGGAACACATCTTTACAGCGAGGATCACTCCCAATCCTTCATCACAGGGTTGACAGGGATGGGCAACTTAGACATTGGCTACCCAAAATGGGGGGGGGGGTGCTATATAGGCAAGAAGTGACTGGCTTACAAGCTTTCAAGAGGGAGCCTAGTTCTAGATGGGGTGGGGGAAGGTAGAAGACCACTGACTGATTCAAATCTGTTGGGACCAGGCTGGCGAAAGGAAATGGGGTTAAGACTCTTGTGGTACAGTAGTGAATAATTGCCATCAGGACTGACTGTGAGGGTAGGAAATATAGAGGTAGATGATTTTTTGACAAAAGGAGGGGAGAGATTGATTTTTCAGCCCAGGATCAGATGTCCCTGGGACCATCAAGTAAGAAGAGCGGAGAGCGGGACCCTACCCAGAGAGGCAGGGATGGAGACAAAGATGATGACCTGGACAGATGAAACAGCTGGGGACAGTGAACTCAGGGAGGGAAAGGGGCTGTATGCTGATGGCCTGTGGAGTGTACCCTTTGGTTATTTGATGATGCATGAGGGGATTATAATCATTGCAATGAAACAAAATATGATAGTATGCATGTAAAACTGATATGCTTCCATGCAACCCTCACAATAAAAACTTATTTAAAAAAACAAAAAACAAATGCTTCCCTTTCAAAATACAGTAACATCTTTCAAAGTCAATCCTTCATTCTGTTTGCTGTTATTTAATCATGAAATAGCTTTCTGTTGGAAGTTTTCTAGATCTCCATAATTAAAGTATAAAAACTCTTAGCTTTCATAACTCATTTGCCTGACTCATAGCCTTCCTCATCCGTTAAGTGAATAGTTTAAAGCTATTCTCCATCATTATGCAATTAAAACTATATCACTTGTGGGGTTTTCCCCTTTAACATAGTACGAATTATTGCATATTAAAATGGTTAAATTAGACATTCACTCAGCTGTTCATTTCCAGTGCTGATTTCTGTTGTTTTAAAGTTCTCATTCAAATTAATTATTGCTTTAAGGGGATTTTGGAGTTTCTCGACTGCTAATGGGATCCTGTGATCTGGCCACAACTTTAACTGGAACTCCCCATTACATGAGTCCTGAGGCTCTGAAACACCAAGGCTACGACACAAAGTCAGACATATGGTGAGTGGATCATGGGCTAGTCTAGAAGATTCTTCTTCTGCTGCCCTATAAGAATACGTTTCTAGGCTCTCTACATCCACTTACTTTATCATTCTGATATATGAGCCATCTGGTTAGGTCTGCTGGATGTGAAATGTGATAAATTCTATTACTTACTTTTTCAGAATTTTCTTTATTTGTAGATTAATTGGGTGATTTGGATTATTCTCCCTGAACCATGAGGAAAAATTATTTATACTATAAACCTTAATGTTTTGATACATTTCTGCTAACCCAAAGAAACCCTTATGGCATAGTGGGTTATACTAATTGCAAGTTCGAATCAGCAGTTTGAATCCAAGGGAGAAATCTGTATGCTCCTATAAAGATTTACAGCCTTGGAAACCCTATAGAGAGTCGCCATGAGTTGTAACTGACTGGATGGCACATAGTCAGCCAGCTGCTAACCCATTAAATAAAGCATTTGTAATCCTAAATACTGTATTGTAAAGTTAACTTTCACATATATATGGGACATGTATAACTTTTCTTAAAAATGTTTAAAAATTCTTACAACTTTTAAGCCATTTTTATTAATGATATTGAATTTAAAGATAAGCTTAAATTTTAAAGCTTGTTGGTTTTCGATGATAGATGCATCCGATTTCTCAGTTACTCTGAGTTTAGGAATTTCTTTTTGCTTCTTCATGGACCCAGTTTAAATCTCAGTCCAGAAGAAAAACTGCGTCTACTGTGTTCTGCTGTGAATAGCAATAAAGATCCTATTTGAGCCAGATTGTTTTTTCTTTGGAAGGGAATCTAATGTAATTTTCAGCTTGTTAAGGGTTGATAGGACCAGCTGAGAACCTTGTTAATTAACGAAATAATTATTATATGCAAATCAGCACAAGTAGTTCTGAGCTTTCAAAGACCAGCAATGTGGAACATGTTCTCACTTTAGTCTTTTGAAGGAGATAAAGTAGAAATACACCTTTTTCTCTGACTAACTGCAACAGGAAAACAAACCCACCGCCATCTCTGACTTGTTGTTAAGTGCCACTGAGTGGGTTCTGTCCCATAGCAACCCTGTATTAGGTTTCTGAGGAGCGCCTAGTGAGCTTGAACTGCTGACCTTGCGGTTCAAACCGACTTTGCAGTCCAGCGCATTAACTTGCAGTGCCACACCAGCACTCCATCCCTGACTAGGCAAGTATAAACTCAGCAGAGGACGTGGCTTGCAATTTTCTCTCTTTTGAATTGTGATTATTCGTTATTCGTTTCTGGGTGTTTTTTTTTAATTCTGGAGATCTTTCCCAATTTGCCTATCATCTTTCCTCTTACGCATCCCTCCTCTGAGACCCCTAAAAAATAATCAACCAAAAATAAATAAAACAAACAAAATCACAAAGGTATGTTTAGAGAAGTGAGCGCTTTTGTTTTTATTTTATTGAGCATCTGCTGTTTGTCCTGGACTGTTAGTCTCTTATGGTATAAGGGAAGAAATGTCAGTATTTCAGCCCCTAAGGACAGGTCTTTGTACTCTTTGTGAATTTCCTTTCTCCACATTGAGAAAATTAGTGCTTGGTTTCAGATGAAATTTTTATTACATACCTACATCTTTCTTCATACTTAATGTTTTTTATTATTATGAGGATTTTAAAATGTTCAAATGCGCAATTTCGTCAGATTTTAAGATTGCACAGTATCTCAGGAAGATACTACATCATGTCATTTGAGTAAGAGTAACTTAAATTAGGAAGACAGCCATTTTGGCATTACTTGGAACAAGAATGCTGGCTCTTTTTGACAGATGTCTACATCTGCTTGGCACATGACTGTATCCATAAGAACAGAGACAGCAAACCTACAGAGCAAAGTTGCTCCTAGTTCTGCAGAAAAAAACTATAGGAACACCAAACTGTGTTGGTATGATTAAGGGTTCCAAAAGTGACATCTGCCACAAACAAAACTTAAAATAACCCAAGCCTTCCAAATATTAAAATTCAGGAGGATTTCAATAGATCTCTCTGAGCATTAGTTCAGCTCTCCAGTTGAGGTGTCATTATCATCCTGATCCTTAAATAGCATCTTTATTATGAATTTAGTAATTACCTTGGTTGTATCAGAATCAAAATGGGCTTATCTGGTAATGTAATCTGTATTACCACACCTAAAGTAGAAAGAATAATAGAGAACGCTTAATTATAATGGCAGATACTTAAGTGTTTAAGTGTGATGAGTAATCTTTGGAAGACGCTCTTAGAAGATTGAGATCGAAATGGGGTTAAGAAACCTGCTCTCAGTCTCACTATGTCACATCTTATTATGGAATATTTTTTAGGCTTGGAAATACTTATGCATAATTGACAGGTGTTTTGCTTTAGCACAAATAGCTGAACATCGTGTATTTATAATGCTTGAAGAAGAATTGTTCTAATACTAATTATATTTTCATCTGTTAATGTTAGCCCATACACAAACTTATCCTCCTACAATCTGTGCAACCTTTCAGGATTCATTTGCTTGTTGAAATCAGTATAGGAACCTGAAGTTTTTAAATCATTATTTGGAAACTTAGGATAATTAGTTTCACTGAAGACAATATTTTGTACACAACTGATATGTGTAAGCAGTTGCTGAACATTTTTCCCTCAAAGAAATAATATGTAAGTTGGGTTCCTAGATCAGTGGCTAAAATTGATTTAACTTATGAATCATCAGAATTTAATATTTTGGTAGGAGTAACAAATAAAGGATGCTGCTACTGGAATAATGGTAGTATATTTAAGAAAAAATAATCAGACTGTTTCAGTATCAGTCTTTCTTATTTTGATGTGAGAGGTCAACCATATGGCTCTTGGATCTTGTGGTCCTATATTTTTGGATGATTTAAGTACAACACCATTCTCTGCAAATGAAGGTCCCA